AACTGTGACTGGGCGTCTGTTTGCAAGCCCCAACAAGCATCACGCGGGCAGCTGTTTTCGCGCGGATTCAGGAAGACGAACTGGAGAAGCAAAGGGTGTAGCGCCCGCGCATCGTTTCAGTGGGCAGACCACCGCCAGCAACACCCAACTCCAACCAAGGGCGTGCAGCGCCTCCCCCACGACCGGGCGGAGACGAATACGCACGCGAGCGGCAGCTGCGCAAATTCAGGCGAGCCAATGGACTCTGTTTTTGCTGCGGCGATAAGTACTCCCGTGAACATCAGTGCAAGCGCACGGGACAAATCCTGATGATCGAGGTGGGTGATTTCGGCGAGATCCTCTCGGACGACACCATGCATGCGCTGCAGTTGCTCGATGAGCCGGCCCCTCCCGAGCCGGAGTGATGTACCCTATCGCAGCACGCGATTTCCGGCGAAGACGCGCCGGCCACCGTTCGTCTCCGTGCACAAGTTGGGGATCAAGTGATGCTCCTCCTGGTGGACTCGGGCAGTTCCCATAGCTTTGTCAGTGAGGCATTTATTCAGCGCATTGCAGTCGATACTCAAGCTCTGCCACCCGTCTCTGTTCGGGTAGCAAATGGTCAACGCCTGCACTGTAACAAGATGGTGAAGCAATTGGCATGGCAAGTACCAGGACACACGTTCCACACGGATCTGCGAGTACTACAGCTGAGCGCATATGATGCAGTTTTGGGCATGGATTGGTTCTCGGACCACAGTCCGATGAACTGTCACTGGAAACTGAAGCGGATATCCTTTGAAACAGAAGGCAAAATGGTGCAGCTGCAAGGGGTTCGCACCACCAATCTCTCGCCCACGTCTGCACTGGATGTTTATGAACTTCATCGAATGGAAGTCGCCAATGACATCTGGGCGGCAACGCTGGTTACTGTTGAGGCACCAGCTAAGGTGAACAATGAGCCAGTACCTCCCAACATTCAGAAAGTGCTCTCTAAATATCAAGATGTATTTGCTGAACCCAAGTCACTGCCTCCTCATCGTCAGTATGATCACGACATACACCTAGAGCCGGGCACTACACCAATCAACACCAAACCATACCGGTACTCGCCAGCACAGAAAGATGAAATCGAGCAACAAGTGCACGAGATGTTGCAGTCCGGGGTCATTACACACAGCATGAGTCTGTACACCGCCCCAGTTCTATTGGTGAAGAAAAAGGACGGGAGCTGGCGCTTCTGTGTTGACTTTCGTCGACTGAATTCTGCTACGGTCAAGAACAAATTTCCACTGCCCATTGTGGATGAGCTCCTGGATGAACTCGCGGGAGCGAAATACTTTTCTAAAATTGATCTACGCACGGGGTATCATCAGATCCGTATGCGCGAAGAGGACGAAGCAAAAACGGCATTCAAAACCCACCACGGGCACTATCACTTCAGAGTGATGCCGTTTGGTCTTTGCAACGCGCCGGCCACCTTCCAATGCCTGATGAACAACATATTCGGCCGCTACGTCCGTAAGTTCATCATCATTTTCCTTGACGACATCTTGGTCTTCAGCTTTAACCTGCAGGAACACGAACAGCATCTGCGCCTCACGCTCGAGCTGCTCCGCGAGCATCAGCTGTTCGCCAAGGCGTCGAAGTGTTCGTTCGCCCATAGGAGCATCGAGTACCTGGGTCACGTCATTTCCCAGGCTGGAGTAGCCACAGACGCAAGCAAGACGAGCGCGATGCAAGCGTGGCCGGTGCCCTCCACAGCAACTGAACTGCGCGGATTTCTTGGTCTCACGGGCTACTACCGCAAGTTCGTCCCGCATTACGGCATCATCGCGAAGCCGCTCACTCAGCTCCTGACCAAGAAGGGATTTGAATGGAACGACAAGGCCCAGCAGGCGTTCGACATGCTCAAACAAGCGATGGTGAGCACGCCAGTACTGGCGCTCCCGGATTTCTCACGCCCCTTCGCCATCGAGACTGACGCGTGCGACACGGGAGTGGGCGTGGTGCTCACCCAGGACGGCCACCCCGTCGCCTACCTCAGCAAGGCCTTGGGGGTCAAGAACCAGAAGTTGTCCACGTATGAAAAGGAGTTCTTAGCAGTCATGATGGCCATCGACAAGTGGAGGCCTTATTTGCAGCGCGCTCCATTCGAAATCGTCACCAACCACAAGAGTCTCTGCACGCTCGGCGATCAACAGCTGGTGACTGAGCTGCAGCGCAAGGCCATGTCCAAGATGGTGGGTCTGCAGTTCACCTTCAGGTACAAGAAAGGCATCGATAATGGCGCCGCTGACGCGCTTTCCAGGGTTGGGCATCTGCTGACACTCGACGCACTATCGGTCTGTCAGCCACAGTGGTTGCAAGAGGTCGCCAACTCCTATGAAACCGATCCTGAATTGCAAGAACTCCTGGCCAAGCTGGCAGTCACCACTTCTGATGATCAAGGGCGCACTCTTCAGAATGGTGTGATCCGACAACATGGGCGCCTGTGGATCGGGGCCAACTCTGCGCTGCAGACCAAGTTGATCACCGCTCTGCATCACAGTGCTGTCGGTGGCCACTCCGGCTCAACGGCCACGTATCATCGTGTCCGGAAGCTATTTGCTTGGACGGGCCTAAAGCGCGCCTTGGAGGATTTTGTCAAGCAATGCGCCGTTTGTCAGCATGCAAAACACGAGCACACGCACCCCGCCAGCAAGCTTCAGCCACTACCAATTCCAACCGAACCATGGCATGATTTGACCATGGATTTCGTCGAAGGGCTGCCCAAGTCCGAGGGGTCTGACGCCATCATGGTTGTCGTCGACCGCCTAACAAAGTACGCGCACTTCATCCCTCTTCATCACCCCTTCACGGCGGTTCAAGTTGCCCGAGCATTCTGGGAGCACGTCATCAAGCTGCACGGCGTTCCTCACTCCATCGTCTCGGATCGCGACAAGATCTTCACCAGCACCATGTGGCGTGAATTGCTTGCCGCTGCCGGCACCAAACTGCTCTACTCCACGGCGTACCACCCCCAGACGGGCGGCCAGACGGAGCGCGTCAACCAGTGCCTCGAGATGTACTTGCGGTGCGCAGTTCACGATACGCCGCGGCAATGGCGCAAGTGGCTTCCCGCAGTAGAATTCTGGTACAACTCCGCTCACCACTCCTCGCTCAAGTGTTCGCCGTTCAAGGCGCTGTACGGCAAGGAACCGAACCTGGGCGGCCTGCCGCACCTGAGCTCCTCCCTGCAAGATCAAGCGGCCTCGCCCGAACTGGACTGGACATCGCACACCGAGATGCTGCGCGCACAGCTTGCGCGCGCCCAAGCTCGTTTCAAGAAGCAAGCCGATCACCACCGCGCAGAACGCGCCTTCGACGTCGGCGAACAGGTTCTCCTCAAGCTGCAGCCGTACGTGCAATCAACAGTTGCCAACCGCCCGTGCCGCAAGCTCTCTACAAGTTCTCTGGTCCGTTTGAGGTGACAGAGCGGGTTGGCACCCTGGCATATCGCCTACAGTTGCCGCTGGACAGTCGCATCCATTCGGTATTTCATGTCTCTCAGCTCAAGCCTTTCACCCCAGATTACACTCCAGTCTTCGCTGAGCTGCCATGAGTCCCAGAGCTCACTGGCGGTGAAACAGAGCCCGTGGCGATTCTGGAGCGAAGGATGATGAAGAAAGGTGATGCACCAGTGGTGCAACTCCGTGTCCAATGGGCAAACATGCCACCTACAGCCACCACCTGGGAAGATTATGATGTTCTTCGCCAGCGCTATCCAGCAGCCGACGTCTGGGACGGGGCTCCATCTCAAGAGGAGGACAATGTCACGCCTACTGATGCATCGGTAGCGGACTGAACGAGTGCAGTTAGTTATTCAGATAACTAAACTGCAACGTGCATGTGTGTGGGCCTTGGGCCAGTGTGTGTGTGCGTTGGGCCAGAGGCCATGTAAGGGTGGCCCAAGGGGGCAGCTACAAATGTACGAACCACCGAACGAGATCGGCAGCGTGTGATGAATGAACTCCTTTCCCTTCCTCCAAGTCTGCCCCTCACCTACTCTGTTCTCTCCTTCCTCACCCCAAATTCTCAGATCCGATCCAGGGGCATTACAGTGCGCTTTGTGGATAAATGCAAGATCTCGTCGGCTTACGCTTTGTGACGGCGACCACATGTTCGTCGGTCAGTAGAGATAAGGAGAGGTCGAGAAGGAGGTCTTGTCTGGGAAGGGAGCGCCTAGGTCACCATCGTTTCCGCAAGAGCGTAAGTGAGGATGCGACGATGGGGATAACCGGATGTGCAGCGGACCTACATTGGCGGAGTTGCGGCGGTGATGATCGCATACATAGTGGGAGAGAGACGTGAGGTCAGTGAGGGGAAGGGGCGGCTTTCTTCGCTTTGCTGTATGGTTTGCGATTTTTCTTGTGGAAAAGCAAGACATTTAGCCCACAAGGGGCTTCGTGCGAGCGAGGGGGACCCACTCAACCGCATACCTCCAATTTTGTTGTGGGAGCAGCTACCCAGCCCACCTTGCAAAAAAAAAGCGTTGTAACAGAGCTTGATCGGACGGTCGGAAGTGTCCTAACACCGAAAATCCGACGGCTGTGAATGTTAATGACCTGAGATGAAAAGTTGCGCAGTTTTAATGTCTCTGCTACTAATTACTAAATCGCCATTTCCAGTTGCCAAACGCGCCGTGTCTCTTGACCATCCCAATCAGTTCGGTTCCTTCTCAAACACAACACAGTCACCATCATCTTCCCGCAAATCCTCTCAACTAATCTTAACCTTCACCCGCGCAAATCATAACCCTCTGCGCCCTCTCCGAGGCACCCCACCAGCCCAACTCCACGCCACGCGGCCCCCACGCCGAGGGGTTCCGCCGTCGGCCCCGCGCCCACCAACTGCCACCACCCCACTCGCGCCGCCGCCGTCCCCCCTTCCCCGCCCCTCCCCGCTATCCCGGCCCGCTCTTCCGCCGCCGGCCGGCCGCGCCCCCCACGCGCGCGCCTGATATGCTGGTGACGCCCAAGATGGCTTCCAAGGCCGAGTCGCCCGTCTCCTGCACCCCGCCCAAGCCCTCGCCGGTGGGCGCCGACGAGATGCGCGCCGTCGCGCGCAAGTTCGCCGACCAGCCCGTGCAGAACCCGGAGCCCGGCGTCTGGGCCGTCCTCACCGCCATCTCCAAGAAGGCCCGCCTCCGCGCCGAGGTCCACTCCCTCCCATTCTTAAACCCTAGACCCAGAACCCAATATTTCGTCTTTTTATTTTTGGGTGGGGTACTCGGCATTGCTGTCATTCTGCCATGTTCCTGTCCGCATTGCTGATTAATCTGTTTTATTTATGGACAATACCACCCATGGTCCATGGACAGAAACAGGCATTGTACTCTTTACCTGTGAAGAATTTACCTCGCATGTCTGGCCCTGGTACAGTTATCTGCTTAATTGTTGATACCACTAGAGTAACAGTCTAGCAGCTTTGGTTCTGCTAGTAAGCTGTATGTGCGGCGAATAGCCGGCTTGGTCTAATTCGTAGTGCAAAGCTTTGCCTTCAAGGAACTTTCTTGGCATAAGCTCAGACATATGTTGTTGATTAGTCAATGGTTGAGAGTTGAGACATAGTGGCCTTTACTTGTGTTATGCATACCACCATTGTAATGAGGAGGCATAAATTTGCTGATTGGAATCTTAGGGGATGAACATTCTTTTGAGTGCTGACGAGCACATTCTGGGCCGCACGACCGAGAACCCGCGCTTCAGGATTTCTGTTTTGGCAGTCAGTGGGAATCATTGCAAGATATATAAGGACACTGTGATAGGGGAGCTGCAACGCGATGAACCTGTGCCTGTTTACCTCAAGGACACGAGGTTTCTTTTGCTTCTGGATCTTGCTCTATCTGACAACAATAATTTCCTTTTCTTAAATTAACTTGCTGTATCTGTGCAGCACGAATGGCACATATGTCAACTGGAATAAGGTTACGAAACGATCACCTCCAACCAAGCTTAATCATGGGGACATCATATCATTTACCCAACCTCCTCATCACGGTAAAATGCTTCTGCTTATTCCGCTTTTACTAGTCTAATCCTCGTTGGTTTTGTTGGGGTATGTTATCCATTGGCCTGTACCTGGTCTGTGCTGTCTGGCTTGCTGTTCTCTATAAGCATTTTTCGTGTTTCCTCACATTTTGTGCCCGTCCCTCCTTATTTACTTCCGTGCACTTAATTATGTTGTCACTGTCATGCTTCTGGTTTCTCTTGCATGCATGAACACTCTAATTTTATAGAAGTGATATTACCTGTTGATGCCCATTTAACTTGTATATTGATTTTACAGATGCCTCTTATGCATTTGTCTATCGGGAAGTTAATGCGGTCAGCTGCGTAGGGAATGGTACTACCATACTCAAAAGAAAATCAGGTAAGAGGGAATATGGTGTCCTATGTTTGCTCATCACATTTGGCAACTACACTGCATGTTCTGAGATATGGCCGTCCATTTGTACTTGATCCTAAAGGGGAGGTTGGTTCTGAAAGCAAGAGGCTAAAAGGTCTGGGCATTGGTTCATCTGATGGTCCTGTTTCACTAGATGATATTCGAAGACTAGAAAAATCTAATGCAGTAAGTTTGCTCCTTCAAGATGGCAAAAGTTAATCTCCCTTGTATCTCCATTATCTTATGAAGCTAAAATCCATGCAGGAGCTCAGGGAACAACTCGAGGCACATGTTGTGACAATTGAGACATTGAGAGCTGAAAGCAAAACAGCTGAAGCGCAGCATGAAAAGGTATCTACAAACACAGATAATTGCTTGCTTATAGTTTTGGAGGATACATGAGTGTACCGCATGTCACAGGGTCATTTCTATTTTTTCTTCAGTCAATGTAATAAGACAATAATGCTCTTGTATATTCTAATGTCAAGAAAGATTGTTGGTGTTGCCAAGTTATATTTACTGCCTTGTTGATGTAATACACTAGTATGTATTCCGATTTCAAATGTAAACATTTTGGTCCCTTTTCGATTAAACTTATCCATCTGTTTTCAGCAACTATATGATTATCAAATTATACGCATGACTGCCCTTCCCTGTAACCAAATTTTTGGTGCAAATCTGATGATGCAGGAACTAAAGGAGTTCAAAGAAACTACATCAAGTTCTTATCTCGAGCAAACTAAATCTCTTCAGCTAGCACTAGAGGGGAAACAGAAACAGCTAGATTCTCTTAGTACATTAAACACAGAGTTGCAGAATTCCATTAAAGATCTGGATGAGAGGCTTAGTGCATCTAAGCAATCACGTGCTGATGCTGACGAGATAATTCACAGGTGAGCTTCATAGCTGTTGGATCGATTTTTTGCACCACCACTCTGACAATACAGAGGATTTTGCTTGTAACTTTCTATATCATAAGGGTGCATATATTCCATAATCTGTGAAAAAACTCCTGGGTTGGAATCATGATTTTGATAGGAGGAAGTCCAGAGGAATTGCTATATTCCCTACAAATAAGCTGTGAAATGCGTTCCGAACAGGCCAACTCTAAGTTTCCATACTGCACTTTTGTTGTTCCGCTGATGAAGGGTTAACCTTATGAAAATAAATAAATTAGTTTTTTTTGCCATGTATGAGCTCTGGTACTAGCACCACTTATATAAAGTTGAAATGCTTGCAGCCAAAAGGTAAATATATGTGAGCTTGAGGAACAGCTAAGCGAGGAGAGAAACTTAAGAATAGAGGAGCGTGATAAGGCTACAGAAGACCTTAAATCTGCGCTGCATAAAGTACAAGCAGAGGCTCAAGACGAAATGAAGAGACAGACAGAGGCTTACCTTAAACAACAAAAGGAACAGAAAGAGTTTATCGTCAAGCTTCAGGTTTAACCCTCTTCCAATTCTAGTCAAAGTTCAGGTGACTAATTCATGTTCGTGATATCACATACTTAAAATAGAGTTTCATTATTTTTCAGGAATCGGAAAAGGAAACCCGTTTGCTTGTGGAAGCATTGAGGTCCAAGCTGGTATGCACAATTATTTTGGTTGCATTATTCATATTAAGTTATGTCGTTCCATTACTGTACTTCAACTGCTGCACTCTCATGCAGGAAGACTCTCGTGAAAGCCTTGTAACATCTGAGAAAAAAGTGCGAGAACTGGAAACTCAACTCCAGGATGAGCAACTCGTGTCTGCTAAAAGTCAAAAGGTATCATGAGGTTCCGCACATGTTATACTTTGTACAATTTACATCTGTGAAAAGTATTTTTATCTTTTGTAATTGTGTATAACATTTTTTTCTATTTCTTGCTGTTGCAATTGTAGAAATCTGATAATCTGGAAACTGAACTGCGAAAGCTCAAGAAAGAACTTGAAAACGAAAAGGTAGAAAAATGTTCCAGTCACATAATGGGACTCTTTCTGTTTCTCTGATGTTTCATCACATGAGCAAATTATATTGGTTTTCTTTTGCTTTCTTCATAAGGTCAGAGTTCCTTTTCTGTTGTGCTTTTGCCTCTGGTGTTCATGGGTTCGAAGTTGTATCATATATTTCAGACAGCAAAAATTTATTCTATTCATCGTTTGAGAGGCTACACTCCTCTACTTACAATCTGATAATACATGTGCTTCGTTAGCAGGCTGCTCGGGAAGAAGCGTGGGCAAAGGTCTCATCTCTTGAGCTTGAAGTAGCTGCTACAATGAGAGATCTATCAATTGAAAAACGTAGGTATCAAGGGGCCAGAGAAAGAGTTATTTTACGGTAAGCATTTAATTTCAGCATCATATATAGGCAATATGAGTCCAAGCTTGTGGAACTAACTTTTTCTACAATCCCTTTCCTCTGTTGCTAATTGCAGAGAGACCCAACTGCGTGCTTTCTATTCAACTACGGAAGAGATCTCTTCTCTATTTGCGAAACAGCAGGAACAGCTTAAGGCTATGCAGAGAACTTTAGAGGACGAAGAGAACTATGAGAGCACCTTGCTGGGTCTTGATCTCAATGAAGTAGCAGTAGCAAATGTGAACACCGATGTTGCCCGTGCAAAGCCAGTAGACTATGCAAAAGATACAATGTCGGGTGCTTCAGCAGAGAATACCCAAGCAAGTGAACATAGTTCCACCGATGAAGAAATGACCGAGCAGCAGGACGGTGGTACCAGAATTGAAGGGGGCACTCAAGACTTAGAGTGCACCAGTCCAGAAAGGACAATAGAGAAAATCGGATCTGATTCTCATGGTGACTACACTGCAACAGCTCCTGAGCAAGAGACCGAGCAAGTTCTGGAGACTGAAAGCCAAATCGGTAATGTTGGCTGCAATGATCATAATTCCATTAACAGCGTTATGGGGGGAGAGACTTTGCAGCTAGAGGATGAAATGCAGGCACAACAAGAAACTGAGGAATCTAACTTGATTCCAAAAGAGGGAGGGCAGCCACTAGTTAATGAGGAACAGCAATCCCTAACCCTCAAAGATGGCATTGGTCAGTGTTCTGAAGGGAAACATGAGGGCGACTGCTCTGCGAGCAAACCTGACGACACGCAGGATGGAACTATTCGCACAGCTGATCTGTTGGCCTCAGAAGTTGCCGGTAGCTGGGCAGTGGAAACAGGACCGTCTGTCAATGGGGAGAATGAGTCTCCGTGCTGCTCGGAAGACGTGGGTGGTGACCCCTCTGAAGGACACGATGATGACGCAGGGGAAAGAACAGCAGCTGATGCCCTGACCAGTTTGGTGAACTCTGATGGCCACTCAGCGGGTAGCCAGACTAATGCGGATGGTCGTCGTGCTATTAATCATATGATTGGACTTCTTGATCCTGAAAAGAAGCTTCCAGGAAACTTCGTTGAAGATAGTGAGTCTGATGCTGAGACTCGGGACGGTAGCGAGGCCGGGGATGCAGATATTGACAGTGAAGCCATGGTTGAGGACTCTGTGGGTTAGGCCTAAAAACAACTGATTTCCTCGTACATATGTCGATTTTTAAGTTTCTGCACCCTTTGAGTCGGTTTATGAGCATTTATCATTGTGTCTCCTTGTGCTTCTGACTTCTTTGTATCACTAGTCCAATCTGAAATATCTAGTTCTTGTTGTTAGTTTTTGGCATTGCCATGACATTCGTTCTATGGATTCTTAAAAGGGAATATCATGGCAATTGTTATTACTCCAGTTAAGTAGTTATATGTACTCCCTCCATTTTTATTTACTTTGCATGTTAGCTTTTGTCTAAAGTCAATTTTTATAAACTTTATGAAGTTTGTAGAAAAATATGTTAACATATACACCACCAAATCAATACCATTAGATTCACTATTGAATATATTTTTGCACCATATACGTTTATTATTGTCAATGTTTGTATTGTTTTCTACAAACTTGATTAAACTCCAAAAAGTTTGACTTCAGTCAAAGCTGATTGGAGTAAATAAAAACGGAGGGAGTACCTACAAACCCATGGGTGTTTGTCTGAAGATAGTATAACTGTAGGAGTCGGATAATAACAAATATAAGTGAAATAGTGTGCGATTTCAAAAAAAATTAAAATGCCATGCTTACCGCATTCATATTTTGTCTAAATAAGAATGTGGTAAAGCATGGCATTTTTTTTTTTGAAATCGCACGCTATTTCACTTATAGGCCAAAACATCTTGTATTTAGGAACAGAGATGTTAGGTGTATTCCGAAGCGACGAAGAGGCAGAAAATACCCAACAAATAGAAACTAGTTCTACAAAAGAATATGTTATTAATCAACTACTGCTCCACCAGTTTTGGTGACTGAAAGGTAACATATCCACAGAACCAATGAACATAATAAGAAAGAAAAAGAAAGTACAGGCAGGGCTCACTGCCTGGAAAACAACAACGATTATTAACGACGACATTAAAACAAAAGAGTCAATAAAACCACATGAATTCACAGTTCAACTCTAAACCAAAGTTTTCCTTTGGGTCTGCAATCTGCAATGTTTCTTCTCTAGTCCAATCAAATGCTTCTGCCATCATCGCCATCACTCTCTTGATTCATGCTTGCTGGCTGTGCCGTTCTGCTGCTGCTGCTGCTGCTGTTGTTGGTGCTGCAGCTGGTAGAATGGTATGGGTGTAGCCTGCTGCAGCTGCTGCTGCTGCTGAAACATGAGGTTGTGCTGCTGGGCCATGCCGTTGGAGGAGCAGGAGTCGCCGATGCCGAGCTCGATGGTCGCGATCTTGAGGCGCTGGACCTCGCCTGTCAGCGCCTCGTTCAGAGCTGCTCAAGCACACAAGGAGAAGAACTGAATGTCAGAACCATGAGTTTAAAAGAAACACTTGCAAAATCATGAATGAAGACTCTGGAGATACGTGGACTCGGAGTAAGCCAGCACATGCCACCCGAGCGGTTAAAGAAACACTTCCAAAATTAGAGTACGAATGAAGACTCTGGAGTGCAAATCAATCTATTCTACTCTACTCTATGGTAGCAACTAACAACATGATGAGAGAAAGCAGCATATTTTATCTGAAGAGTCAATTTTAAAACAGAAGCAAATCTTGGTGCTTGATCATTGTCAAGTGCCAAGCACATCCGTAATGGATTAGTACTTAGACGCTAGACTACATGCCAACGACTACCGGCATGGAGGGAGCTACCTGCGTACCTACCGAGGGAATTCAGAGCTGCGGTCGTGAGCGGAGCACACGTACGACTAGGACACGCAGATAAACATGTCAACGTCAGGAGCCGTGATACGATAAGGACCATCTATGTAGACTCTAGTCTAGTGCCAAGCACATCGGTGGATGGATGAGTGGATGGATGGATCGGACGGACGGACGTTGACGAGCGGATGTTGTACGCACGACAAGCAGGGTGTGGGAGAGAGAGAGGGGACACGCAACGCACCATCGCGCAGCTGCGCCTGCTGCTCCATGGCCTGCAGCCGGAACCTCAGCTCGTTGTTCTGCGTCGCCACCGCCGACGAGTCGCGCTGCGCCATCGAATTCGAACCATCAGTCAACTCAATTTCAGTCAATGAGATAAAAATGGATGGATGTTGCACGAGGTCGAGAGGAGGAAGAAGATGGTGTACCTGCAGGAGGTTGATCTGCGCGGCGAGCGTGGTGGCCTCCGTCTGCAGGATCTGCACCTTCTGCTCCAGCTCCACGATGTACCGCATCTTGCGCTCCTTGGACCGCGCCGCCGACTGCCGGTTCGCCAGCACCCTGCGCACAATCCAAACTCGATCTCAGTTCCGTAATCCACAGCACGTTTTAGGCAAGCAGCAATCGCCGATCATCAATGGCGAAGCTTTGGCAAGGATTCGCGATCTTGATCGATTGATTGGTTGAGGCGATGTTCGAATGGATTACGACGTACGTACCTCTTGACGCGCTTGGGGTCGGCGAGGGCCATCTCGGCCAGCTTCTCGTCGGCCATGATCTTCTTCATCTCGGCCGGGGAGAACTCGCCGCTGCCGAACTCCAGGCTGAACATGCCCCCCGCGCCGTTGGCGGCGGCGCCGCCGGGGGAGGCGAAGTTGAACCTCCCCATGAGGCTGTCCACGGACAGGCTCCGGGCGTGCCGCCCGGCCATCGCCGGCTCCCCGGCGGCGCTCCTCTTGACGCCCGCGCCGACCCACTCCTCGGAGTCGCCGTTCTCGCTGCTGTCGGCCTTGGCGCTGCTGTCGGGCGACGAGGAGTTGAGCACGTCCATCCCCTCCAGGTTCAGGTACGAGTTGAAGAGGTCGTCGCCGCCGGCACCGTCGCCCCAGCCCCCGGTCTCCGCCTTGGGCTGCGGCAGCTGCTGCGTCGGCGGCGGGAAGTAGCCCGCGAACGGCACCTCGCTGCGGGACCGGCGGTGCGCCGGCACGACCTGCTTGCGCCCCGCCGCCCCCGAGGAGTCGTCCATGCACACGTCGCCGCCCGCACCACCCCGCTGCCCGGCGAAGGACGCGGGCGGCGTCGGCGGCAGCCCCGGCGCCCTCGGCTTGGCCGCCGCCGCCGCCGCCACCACGGAGTGCTCGACCACGCCGAACGACGCCGCCTGCTGCAGCTGGTGCACCTGGTGGGCCTCGCCAATGCGCTCCATGCTTACCTGCCCGCTCGCGCCGGGGACGTCCGCCGTGGTAGTAGTGCAAAGCAAGCAGCGCCGGCGGCGGAAATGGGTCGTGCTGGTCGAGACGGTGGTGATGGATCGAATCGCGAGGTTGGGAGCGGTGGGAGACGACGCGCTTTTAAGGAGGCCTTTAATCGCCGTCCGTTGGGACGGTGCCGGTGGCTCGTGCGTGCGCGGTGCGCGTGTTCGATCGCCCGCCCGCCCGGCCCGTTTGCTTGCCTTTGGTGAGCTCGCCTGGGCCTCGCAAGCCGCCACTTTTGCACCGCGGCTCACAGCCTGGCGACGCACCGTTTTTTTGGCAAGCTCCAGCGGCATTCAGTGTACTGCTGCCCTGGCCGTGGCTAGTACGCATCGACTGGCAGTGGCCGCTTGCGGCAGCGGAAACTTCCTGCCTACGGATCATCGGATGGACGGCTGTGGGGCGGCCTCGTGATCCAGCACCTATGTTACCTGCGGGGCTTACCCTATGGACCATGTGCCACGTGTCACCTCAGTTAGGGATGCAAGCGGGCGGCGTCCGCGTGTCCATTCCAGCTGGGGCCTCGTCGGTGGCCCCCCCGAAGAAATAAGCGGTAGAAAACACGTTTTCTCTCTCTTCTTTATAAAAAGATAGTATATACTTTGCGTGCATCTCAAAAAAAGAAAAAGAAAACTTTGCGTCACAACGGGGTATAAATATGCTAATACGCTAGCTCATGATTATCTGTCAATATTAAATGTAGTAGTATAAAAAAGATTTTATTTTGTAATAAAAACTTATTTGGTAGTCGTTTATTGGCTTACCAAAAAATATTTTTTTGGTACGTCGATAAAAGGCAGGCCAGGTGGATCCTCATCAATGACCCGTGGAAGAGATAAGCGATGGGATTTTATTTTTTTGAAAATAAAAGACCTTCAATTATTATTTATTTACAAGAAGTAAATAACATACACACAAGGGGGCAAATTACAACAACGCACCAGATAACTTGTGCCACCCAGCCGTGCAGGGAGAGGCCGCAATCATACGGGGCCCATAGCTGAACGCCGGTGATGAAGATGATGGCCGCCCACCGAAAAGAGGACAAGGACAACTTCATCTGATAGCCTCTGGACAAGGAAGGGCGCGAGCTCGTCGATGACGAGGATCACACAGAGCATCATAAGTAGGAGAGAAATAAGTCCCTTGTACGGTTGGTGGCATAACTCTGGAATATGAACCAACGACGAAGACCTACTTGGCGAAGATCTGGATCCAAAGACCACGATGTATGCCTCCAGTGAAGGAGGTTGAGAGGGATGACTGCCTCTAGACACACGCGGGATTTCAGATGAGACTCCACTCAAGCCAGAGCAGAAGATGGGGCATGATACATTCCTCGACTCGAGCGAAGAGAATCGACACCAATCCATGGAAGATAGGGCATGCGGTTCCACGACTGCCTGCTTCAGTTTCCTTGAAATCAAAACTGAAGCGCCAGATCTTCGTATAAATAAGATCTCTTGTGTCTTCGTAAATGGGATGGGGAGAGCCTGACAGGAGACTAAGGGATATGGAAGGGGCTTCGAACCAGTGGGATCCCAGATGCAGACCTTAGCTGAGGGCCTAGGACCATCGCAGTGCCAAGAACCGAAAGGAGAGAAAATCTCTAGGGAATGCAATGAATAGGAAGGGGGGTTAGTTTGAAGGGTACCTCCGGGACGAACCGAGCAGAATTCGTCATAAAGGAAGACCATGACGGCGACTATGCCGAGGAAAGCCATGAGAGGAGGTCGACAGTGCCTCCGTCCCCTCGAGGAATAGCCGAACCTAGCCATGAGGCCGTCAGATCTGGTGGAGAAAGGGCTCTGGGTAGGTGGAGAAACGCGAGAGGGATGAGGAGGGGAGGGGCAGATATAATGAGGCGGGGTGGTGGAGGGGTAGGATACACGTCAACGACATTGTCGACATGCGCATGGACAGTTGGGTTGAGTGTGTCACAGCCGAATGGCCATCAACAACCTAAAATGCAAAAAATATGGATTTCTCATATACGACTAACACAATTGTTAAACCACATTTGTGTATCATATTTTTACCTACATATTTACCGGCGTTGATTTTTCTTAAAGAAGGGCACTCGTGCAGCGCATTATTGCTCAATGGCCGAAAACAACATCCACGCACCCATGATATCACAATAATCTCATCCATGCTGCAACACCAGGTGATTGTACAGTGGCACCGTTGTCACGCTATTAGGGACATTATTTAGAATGTTTGCTCCATATTAGTTTCCTAAAATAGTAGTGGTCACAGTGTATGCTCGAATGCACCTCTTGTGCAACATCATGAGTGTGTTGCTTTCCCTGTAAATTCTTGTTTCCACATTACTACATCTTTAGCCACTGAAATGTGTGCAAAAATGTAAAGAAACATATATTATAGAAGGTGATAATAACACTAGACACTATTGAAAGTTCATTTATTTCTAAATGGTATTTCAGTGTGGTGACAATGTGGTTAGTGGAATTAATGACGATTGCTAAGGTTTATCTCAGGTGTTTGGTTCCTTGGACGTTTTTTGTTGAGATGGTTGACCCCGCCCCCCACTTAAAAAAGATCAAAGGTTATGTTTTCCGGCTACTCGAAGGTTTTATTTTGATTTGATTTGAGTCGTAGGGCAACCACACTATCAAGAGGGGCCAAGGCAGGAGAATTACAGTGTGGGAGCACTATAAAACTAAACACTTGCCTTTCTTATTATAAAGACTAGAGGTGGCTAGGGATAGCTCTAATTAGTCAACTAGGACCAACAAGAACTAGAACTAGATCAACTAGAGGAGGCTCCAAAACTTGTATGCACATAGGGCGGAAATCCTCTAGTATATATAGGTTAGAGGGGAGGGAGAGGGCAGCCACCAAGAGGGAAAGAGTCCCCCTTGCTGCGGTAGCCTTGGGGGGGGGGGGAGTTCCACTCCCCTCCCAAGTAGGACCCCCCCCATAAGGAAAGGAGAGGGGGGGGGCACTTCCATATGGGCCTTTGTGGCCCATATCTCCTTCCACCACTTGGCCTTTTAAGGCCCATTGATATTTAAATTAAATATAAAATGTTCTAAATAATTTCAAACCACTATATATATAATTTAAACATCCCTAGAAACATTTTCCACCTATATATATTAATCGGCAATACACTGTATTACTCGATATTCACCGAAACCCTACGGGTGACCCCGAAACACTTCTGAAACCTCTCGGAACTATTTCAGATATTAATGAAACAATATCACAAATATATTCTCATCACTCCCGTCCCACTAAAACTCAGTAGATCGTGAATACCTTAAGCTTGTGACCCCTATATGCAATGACTGATAGCAGAATCATGGACATCCATATCGGTCCCTATGATTACATGAATGATATTCGAGTGAACATTTGGTTATCATGTGAGGTTCCCTTTGCTTCATGATACTTTACAAAACCCGCTGTGCATCGGTATCCTCCTGAGTCATCACCATGCTCACTATACCATTGCTCATGTTACCGGTTTTGTTCTTCTTTCTCGTTGACGTGTTCTGACATCCCTGTGACATAGTCACGTGTGTCTGGCCAGACGATGATGGATGTCGTCGCACCGAGAGGGCCCTAAGAATATTTCTCCATTATCAGAAGAGCAAATCCCACTCTCGAGGTATCTGGTCACTTGTCAAACTTTTCGGTGAGCCTAAAAGTTGTCGTTATGATCACCTTGTTACAGATGACGTTTGAGCAACCCCAAAGCCCACCATCTGGTAGGAAGTAACCGAAAAACTCTCATGGTCTGAGGAACTAAAACACATGCTAACACTCTATGTTATGAAAGATGATTCAGACGAGATAATCACAAAGTATAACAGAAAAGTATTGGGCTGATTTGATATGATCATTCTTCTAACATCATACCCTCAATGTTGTTTTAGGACTATCGTTACACTTAACGATATCCTAAGATTTGGAAAACGTGATCACCAACAACACTTGAGCTAGTCTTAGAGGTGAAACAGGGAACCTATCACTAGTAGAAAAAGGGCCTTCAGTCCCGGTTCATAAGGGCCTTTAGTCCCGGTTCTGGAACCGGGACTAAAGGGTCGATACTAATGCCTATCTCTTTAGTCCCGGTTCAATCCAGAACCGGGACTAAAGGGCGCGGCCACGTGGACTAAAGGAAATTTTATGAATTTTTTTTGTTTTTTTTTTTATTTTCAAATTTCTGAATTATTTTAACCTCTAGTCTGTAATCACCACCCCTCATCACTTCTCAATTTATCATCTAATCACCCCTCGTCATTCCAAATCATCTAACTTCCCAAATGGTCACCCATCCTCCCAC